CCCCAAAACCCCAAAACCCCAAAACCCCAAAACCCCGTCATTATATTTTATTAAAGTAAATCGGAATAATTTATTAATTCTTAATTTAAGTCAATTTAGTTTAGATATAATATCACTTATGTTGCTAGTCTGGTATTCATGAGCATGATCCTCGCTAAACCTTTACAAGAGTCCCTTGTAAAACTTCTTAAGAGAGTTATCTGAATCCTCAGTTCTGTTGACGACTTTAAGTATTAAGTACTCTTTGAGCTTTGTCTTGCAGTGATCACTCTCTCCTTGATATAAAAGCTCTAATGATTTTAAGTAAATTTCTCTTGATTCCTATAAGCATATTTAAGAACAATTTTAGTTACCTCATAAATCTGGAACTTTAGAGTATCACAAGTAAGGAAATTGTGAATGATTTGAAGACCTTGTTGGCAAATATCTGGATCACAGATGCTGATCATAACATAGTCTTTAACCTTCTGCCATACCTTCAACCAGCTCTCATTTTAGTGGGAGTTAAGGAACTCAGTTGGGTCTCCAGCGCAAACATACAGGATTTGCATGTGATCAATGCTTAGACTTTCAAGTTGCTGTGAGAGCACTAAATCAATAAGTGTGCTAGCCAATACGATCCTATCAAAGTTAGCCAAGTCTGATTTAAGTTTGTAATTAAAGCTAGAGTTTCCTAAAGAGAAGTAAATATCTTCACCTGCTCTGATAGGCTCCTCTGATAAAATGATTTATTTGATTTCTGGTTCGATTTAGATCAAGACATCAGTGTAAGGGTAGTATAAAACCTTATAGTCATTCAGAAGAGGCTAGAGTTCAAAGAGCCCAAGCTTTTGCACACTTTTAGGTGAGTTAACACTGAAGCACTTGTTGATGATTTCAACTGCTAAGTTAAGATTTCTCTTGATAGAATTTCTATCAGAGCCTGAGCCGTTTCCACCAGAACTTCCTGGCTTTCCACTTAATGCCTTTTAAATGCCACCACCCTTGACATCATCTTTTTGTTGCAAAAGATGGCTCATATTTCTGAAACTGTTTAGCACTACAGTGGCAAAGATCAGGCATTGAGCCTTAATCTCCCAGTACTAATCATTGCATAGCAGGAGTACTTTCTCAGTAATATCCATGATACTCTCAGAATTGTGCTTGGCAATGGTATTAAGGATATTCAAAGAGTAAACTCTGATAAGCGTCTTTTGTGATGCTAACCCAATTAATGCGTAGTAAAGGAAAACATCAAACCATTATTCATTGAACTCTGATTCTTAACTAATAAGGTAAGCTTGGCAAGCATATACGATCTCATCGTCTGGGATATGGTTCTTAAGGTTTTGAACCACTTTTATTCTTAGGTTTAAATCATGACTTGAGTGAGCGTAAATGAGCTCACAAATGTACTGTCTCTTGTTTGGGCATTCTCTCATAATCTGGCAGTAGTTCTTGAACAAGTGATTGGTGAAGAATTTGTTGAATTCTTAGGATGGAGTTTGCTAGTCCTCGTTGATCTTTCTTGCAAGAGTCTTACAGAACAGAAGAGTATTGGTAAAAGCACCTTGCACTGGTGATAGCTTTCTAAGTAGCATCAGTAGGTAGGTATAAAAGATTGCTACTTCATTTGCACTTTGGTAAAGACAATTCATTATCAATTCAATCTGTATAAAATCAATTAGATTCTATGACTTACATTATTCTTAAGCTCTTCAACGAAACTGAACACAAATTGATCAGACAGCTTGGTGACATTATCAAAGAATGTAGTTACTAAGTCATTTTCAAATCTCAGCTATGAAACTTCATTATTAACATCCTTAGCTCCCTTAGTTGTAATGATTTCATTTAGGACATCAGTAATTAGCTTCTTGGTCTGTCTTTCATTAATAGTCTCAGCTGATAATATTCTACTTGCTCCATCATGATGATGATGATTGCCTCCTCCTCCACCTACATACTATGAGTTCTGATGAGATGCATTCTGATTTCCAAGATGATGCTAGCCACCTCCCATATTTGAGGTTGCAATTTCACCTATTGATGAAGATCCCAGTTTTTACTGTGAATGCATACTGCTCAATTCTTTCTGAGCACGGATCTAGGCCACGCTCTAGTTCAGTGGTCTCACATTAATGTCCATTACTTTAACACCTTAATAATTATCAATCTCTAGCTTTTCATTTATAACTTTAGGCGGACCCTTGATAGCCAAAGATTTATGAGGACTCTTGGTTGATGACTGATTCAAGATTGAAGCTAAATAAAATTAATAATTTCAAATTTTACCTTCTTTTTTAGAGTCATTTACATCATCACCTTTCTTTAGGAAGTCTAGCTCGTCCTTTGGCAGCTTGACCATTTCCTTTTCCTTGAGGAGATAGCTTTCGGTTGTCTGTTACGTTTCATATATTCTAATGGGTGGCAGCAATTGTCTCTCAGTCAGCAGAGTGTAGACCTGCTTCACAAACTCAAGAGCCACATCATTTTCATTCAATATGAGTGAATCCATGTTCTTAATGACAATAGGAATCTTTCTCTTTTCGAAAAAGACCTGCAGCTGCTTCCAATTATCTTTCTTTTTATTGTAGTTCTCTGCATTGTCGAATGAATGCATTTGAATATCCTGGGGGAAATACCTCGAAAAGATCTCTGCTATCAAGAACCCATTGTTAAATGACCTAATCAAGTTTGTTAATAAAATTGCACAGATATTTGAATGAGTGTAAATACCTTCTGACATTTTTGACTGAGTAGGATAAGTCAAGTGATTGAATCCACTTGAGCACTTCTCTAGGAAGTCCTGCTGATGACATCTTTAAATATTTATGATTTCTTAATTAAATTAATTCCAACTTCCTAATTTATTTGCTGTTGGGGTTTTGGGGTTTTGGGGTTTTGGGG